ACTACTTTTACCTTTACTTTTTCATACTCTATCTATCACATCATACTTTTTCTCTAATAATCTATCCATCACATCATGGGCAAAATTGGAAATCAACTATAATTTAACACTCCCTTATTTTTGCCCCAAATCAAAATGGGAAGGGTTTTTCCAAACGGATGGAGTACAATTCTATAACATTTCATTATATATAATTCTATAACATTTAATTAAATATGATTCTATATCAACAGTACACTATTTTATGCATAAGAAAATCATACAACAATTTTATTTTCCGCCAAAGTTTTATTCTCTTATTTAAAATTTAATATGTAATCATATTCTTAAATAATAAAGTAATTATGTATACTAAGGGATTTAGCTATGAAGAATATCTAGCAACAATAATTTGAATATAACATGAAAAAATCATAGTCACAAAAATATTTTGTTTGATTTAGTTATTCAAAAAATTATAAACAAACTTGCTTTAGGATACTATACATTTTGTTTTTAGCGAATTCATGTATAACCAATATGGATCTTTATAATGATACACGAAGTATCTTCATTTCACAAAAGTAAAGCTTATTGAAAAATATGAACTCTTTTAAATCAATAAAACAAAATAAGAAGCTAAAAAATATGTTTATTGGGTGATTTTTTGTTGAAGCACTTCCTTTTTCACATTCTCGCTTCTTTTGGCAATAGCCATCTTTCATTGCATTGCTTTTGCATTGTAGCTATCGAAGCAAGGGAGTAATAAAAACTTGTATACGGTTAGACGGAAAAAAATAGGCAAGAGTGTAACACCCTAATCCGTCCAGGTCTGCAGCCCCTTTCGGACTAAAGTATAAACTCGGTATTCGTAGACATTCAAAAATATTTCAAACATTTAAAACTTTATTTCATAATAAATAATTCAAAATAGTAACAGAGTAATTTAATGTTGCTGAAGCTTAATAAAACATAATACAAACATAATTAATTTATGTCTTTTCAAACAATATTCCGTATTCAAAACACACATTCGTTCGACCATCTCGTCCCATCTCCCTCCAGGAAATCATTGCTTCATTCTTTTTGTTTACCTGTGTGTAGCAAATAAAACACACTACACGCTCAGCGGTGAAGCTGAGTAAGCATATCTAAAGCGTCGAACATCCACATAAATTGAATCTCATTTCATAAACAACCATTTGATATCATGCACACAATATATAAGTATTCATGATATTCTCAATATTTTTATTTCAATATCTCAACATTCAACATTCATATTTAATATTCAATATTCAACAATATCTTTAAACTGTGCTTAGTCTAAGGCCAATCTTTTTTATGTTTAACAACTCTTAAACTAATTCTAGTTCAAGGTACTTCTATCCAACTCTTAAGCTAGGTCATTAGTTTAATGCACATATATTCCGATTGATTTACCAACTCTTAAACTAGCCTTCGCTTAAGGTACAAATCCAGAAAACCGAACAGTAAAATACTAACTGTCGGGTTGGGTGGTATCCCCAAACGAGTTCTTCTAGTTAGGTTATGGATCCCGTACGTACGTTTTTACCTAAGGCCACCGAATATACATATTTATACCCGCAAGGCCCAATCTAATTTGAGATCTATCTTTAGAGGTCTTCTAGATAGCCTTAACAATACAACTCATTTTTCGTTGATCCATTTATTTTGGAATTTAGTTTAATAATTCATAATCATCATTTCATTCAGAATAATTATCATTATTAATCCAATATATTCATTATAATCAATAATCAACCAATAACAATAAGCGGCCTAGCGTCGAGTGTTAACATCCTAACTTACCGCCATGCATCACGTAAGGTATTTTTAATTGTCAAAACACCATTTTTATTCCAAGAAATCATCTTTATATTAATCATAATTGATTGGTATCAAAAATAGGATTTTTGGGTTTGAAATTAACATCTTCAGAAACATTTTCGAGGCAGACAGGTCGGGGGATCGATCCAGCTTGGAGGATCGATCCTCTTCACAATTTTCCTCCCAGGGGATCGATCCACCTTGTAGAAATTCTTCTACTGCGGTGATCAATCCATCTTCCTGGATCGGTCCGCCTGTTACTGTTCATCGTCTTCTACCCTCGGTCCATATTCAGGAATATCATTTTTAGCTACCAAACTTCAATTAAACTATATAGAACTCTTCTCTAAGGTTCATAGATCATTTTAGTATCATTAATTCATGATTTTAACATCAAATTCAAGGTTTATGATTCTTAGTTCTTCAAACATGTCAAACACAAAACTCAACCAAATGACCATTTATGAACGTAAAAACAACCTATAAAAACATTCTAATCTTTAGATTTATCTACGGGCTTACCCCGAAGGTAAATGAAGGTTTTGAAGATTTTCCGGCGAAACTTCCGGCGACGATTACTCTCAACTCCGGCGACCTCTCACCAAGATGATAGCACCATTGCACTCCTCTCTCAACAAGGAACAAAATAGAATGAAATTTTGTAAAAAAATGGTGAAGAATGAAGGGTGTTATGGTAGCCTTTTATAGGAGAAGCAAGAGGAAGAAGACACAGGTTGATGACCTTTCCTACGACTGTTTCGGCGGCTGAGTGGAGCGGGCTATTATCTTCTCCGATTTTAAATGTAAGTCCCTGAGTGGGACTAATTTGGTCCCAGTCGGGGAACACTTTTTGGTCCAACTTTCTCCGAATCGAAATCCGATTGAACCGTTGAGATCAGAGAATTAAATTCTACATAACGATATAGTTTTCATTATTTATTGACAAACTTTATAAATTAGTTATTTTGGGTCCTTCTCAGTAATTAATTAATTCTGATATGCCTATTTTCGGGGCATTACAAAGAGTGTCATGTTTTTATATATAAATCTTGAGGTAGATGTCATCATGTCAAAATAAGAGGTTTTTATATTTGTTAAGAATAGTTTTAAATAGTAATCGCATAAATAATGATTGATATTATGTTTGATATCAATTTTAAAAATGTAATATACGATGTCAAACATCCCGATTAGTCTCTAAAATTATAGAAAGTAAGAAGAAATTAGAAGAAATTTTACTTATTTTAGAATCTAGAAAATCTAATTAGTTGCGGACTTCTTTACTTGTATAATAAATTCTAAAAAGAGTTTAGTTTCTTCTTACATCATCCGTATCATATTTAAAGATGACGGTGATGATGATGATCATTATTATAGGTATTATTGTTGTTGTTGTTATTATTATTCTTATTACTATTTAAAAAAATAAAAATATATTTTAAATTTTACCATTTTCTTTTTGTTAAGGAAAAGAATTTGAGTATAATTTCTTATTTTAAATAAATTTCAACCACATTTGTTTTAAATTTTTTTCATTAATTTATTTAGTATTTTTTTTAAATTTTTGGAAAAGTCAAATTGTTAGTCGGTTTTTTTCTTTTTCAATATAGATAAGGTATGTGCTATATACTAAAAAATGCATTATTTTTCCATTCATATTTTTGTTGCATTTTAATATACATAGTATACATTTATATTTTCAAAAAGATTTTGAAATATCAAATTTATATTATTCAATTTCATTTTTATAGAAAATAGTGTTTGGGTATGATATATTTTTCTGCTCCAAATAAATATCAGAGCATTTTTTTACATTAACATTATGATCATTTATTTTTTGGTGAATTCAAGTTGCTAGTGGGGTTTTCAATAGTGTAGAAATATTTGAAAAATAATGTTAACATCAAAGATGTTAAAATTTGAAGTGTGCATAAATACTTTTTATCGTTTGTTTTCCTTTAAATAAAAATAAGGCATGTGCTACGAAAAGAATGTCTTAAATATATAATTTTTTGTTCGAATAAACCGGAAACAAAAATAAAGGAAAAGAATGTCTTAAATATATAATTTTTTTGGCCTTTTAACCTTCGTGATATAAACACGTATATGAAAATTGTTTAAACCTTTTATCAATTAATAGCTTAAAGGCCATGAATTTAATCGGCATCAATTTCTTATTTCGTATATAATATTCCTTAAATTTTACACAGTTATTACGTGGCGTTGACATGTTAAAATTTTGCCAAATAGACATGTCCAGAAAAAATATATATAAAAATCCATGAGATAAGATTAGTTTTTGAGATGCCCAGAAAAAATTTAGACTTTCTTTTGGACCGACACCCAACAAATTCAAAAAAAAATTAAAAATACTCCGCTTTTTTTTAAATAACCCTTTTTAAGACATCAAAAAGAATAAAGATGTTTTTACCATATAATATTGAACCTAATCCTCACACTTCATGGCCACATTTTTTCTTACTCATAAAAGTTTTTGGGTACTCTATATCTTTTTCTATTTCTCTTTTTTTTTGTAGTCTCAAAAAAGCATTTCTATTTAGAATAAATTTCAAAATAATCCGTAATTGATGCAATTTGATACCAGTCTTATTTTACACTACCACTGTCTCTGAGTATTTGTCCAGTTTTGACTTTTCTCGATCAATTATTTTTAACTTTTGACGTATAATTAAATAAATATATACTTTTTATTAATTAGAGAAAATAATATTTTGATCGAAAACATTTGATATAATAAATCTAATAAAACTATTTTTGTATCAATATCTAATATTATTTTTATTTAATTTGAGGTCAAAGTTTACCAATTATAACCGAAAAAGTTAAATGTGGACAAATACTCATGAATGGAGGGAGTAATGCAAAATGCATCCATTTATATAAGGATTACAATAAGAAATTTTAATCATAATAGAATAAAAATTATAGAAGCTACTCCGTATAAGATAAGGAAAGCAATTATTAATATTATTATATTTCTGATTAACTTTATTATTTACAATATCTCCCGCAAGCTAGTCATCAGTAACGAGGTGTAGCTTGGAGCATATATAGACAACACTGGAACAGAGCAGCCGGAAGGGATTTTTAGAGGATAGCCGTTAGAAATAGAGAGTCAGATCTTCGTTGCATGATGAACAAGCTTGAGATCATGTTTGCTGAGTTTTTTCCGGGTGACAGTGTTAGAGATTGAAGCGAGGATGAGAAGTTTCTTTTTTCTCCTTTTGGACCATTCTCTGCTTTTCTATCGCTTTTCATGCTCTCGACCTCTAGAAACACAGTCAAATGCAATTTTCCTGTTCTTTGATCACAAACATAACTTTTTTTAGAAGAGAGAAGGATAAAGATTGGCAGCTGTCAGGCATGCTCATAATTTTTTTAGAAAGAAATAGAGAGATAAAGGACAACGATTATTAAGCATGCTCATCGGGATCAGTGGTGGCTGTTAAGCACGCACACAAATTTCTTGGAGAGGGAAAAACCTTTGCTCTGTTACCATGATACAATTTGATAATAATTAGTTTTATTGAATAATGAAGGATACATCCTTATATATACGGATTACAAGAAAAAATTCTAATAATATTAGAATCACGATTATATAAGCATTAGAATAAGGAAAGTAATTAATAATAATATTCTATTTCATATTATGATTATTATCTTTATTAATTCTAATACTAATAACATGTAGATTTTTTATATTTAGTCCTTAATTCTTGGATATTATATCCGTAGTCCTCAATTTTTAAAAACATTTCCATAAGCACTTAATCTTTAGAGGTTATATATATGTAGGGGTGGACACGGTACCGGTACAGTACCGTGACCGGCAACAGTACCGTCGGTACCGGTATCGCCCCACTCGGTACCAGTTCCGGTTCCAAATTTTCGGTACCGGTACCGGTTTAATTTTTTTTCCTTGGCTTCTTCCCAAACGGCAACTTGCAAGCTGCAAACAAAAAAATAGTGTGTGGGGTTTTTTTGAACCGTCAGGAATCAGGATATTAAATGTAGTTGTTCTTCAGTTCGTGTATTACTCATTTTACAATATTTAAATAACAACTACATTTTTAGATTTTTTATTTCATTCTTTCATTTAACAATTACAAATTTACAATTTTACACTTTAAAATTTTAAAAAAAAGCAAAAAAAAAAATTGGGGTGGGGGAAACCAGAACCGGTCCGAAACTGTACCGTGTTCACCCCTATATATATGTGGAAAAATATATTGGGTAATATTTGGGCTAAAAGGCTAATTTTGGAATATTTTTTTGAAATGAGGACTAGGATAAAATTGAGTGGGGACTAAATACTAAAAGCCACATATTATAATAGACCATTTATATAATTTATTCTTCAGATATTTTTATTTTGGAAAACAAAACAAAATGTTTAGTATTTAGTTCTCAAAAAGACAAAAATGTAATAGTATTCAATCAATTCCTCAAAAAGCTTTTAAATAGGCACATAAAGTAAGAAAAATAAAATTGTGTACATGAAAATGGTAGTACTTGGCATAGTTTTAAAAACCGGACCGGCTGATTCATACATACCGCTGAAATCATAGAAGAGGGAATAAGTGAGGTGAAAGGCTAAAAAGGCCCTAGTAAATAAATTGATGTTTACTCTGTGTACAAAGGGCCAAAGGGGTATCCAAGCCCAATGTGAGGACACCTTGTAGCCCAATATCAAGAGCCCATTTTGTTACAGTAGTCGACCGAGGACGCCGTTCTCGGCCTTGAATGGACGACCACAATGGAGCGAGGAAGGCAAAGAAAAACAGAGAAGAAGAAGACCAGCGAACAGAGAAATAACAGGAGACCGGAAAAACATTTTTTTTAAAAAAAATCCAACAATCACAACTTTAACCCAAATTCCCAATTCTAACTCAATCCATCAAGAGATTCAACAATTCAATTGGCAAGAATATATTAACGAAATCAATTGTAACGAGAACCATACAAACCATGATTCACCTTGATTACTTGTGGAGACGAATTGCGAGCCAATTGGCTTAGATAACCTCTGGCAATGCCTGTGTTTTGTCCGGTCGGCGAAGAGAATGAAAAGAAACATCAAGGTAATCACAGTATACGCATATTTATAAAAGGATGAGCTCAGACCAGACGGGTGTTGGTTTGGCTAATATTTTGGCAAAATAGAATCTCATGTTTGTTAGGTGTTTTACTAGCTAAAAACCTCTGTTTGTTAGGAGAGGTTTATTTTATTTAGACTTTTCGAGGTTGACACAAAAGATGCTACAGCACGGTGCTGCAACACACTGTTCGAGATCAGAGGTCTGAGCACGGGATTTTAAGCTGCAATCTGAATTAGAGACTTATTGGGATTGTGATTACATGATAATAACTCCAGCTGTACATGCTAAGGAATCCCAACTCTTTAGGCTACTTGTTGATCAAGATTAAGGAAGTAGAGTTCAAGCCAACTTCTACTATCTTATTCCTACTAGGATTGTGTTAAGAAGAGCCTATAAAAACGCAGCAGGTCCCTGGTTCCTGAGAATTACTTGGAGCGATTGAGAGGGAAAACAAAGAATATACGCTGATGTAGAGCGTTCCCATCGCATCACGGAGCTTCCCATGCGTGAAGAAGGTTGCGATCTACATGAAGGAGGAGATTTTCAACGCCAAACTGATCGTGACATCCAAAAGATGAAATAGAGCTGAACGAGTGGGCTGTCAACACGTTTGTCCTCGTGATCTCGGTGGAGATGTGATAGCCAAAGCGGATCTGAACAGAGTTCGGGTTAGAAATCCTAGATTAGAAGTTTCGTCATAACAATTCGGAGAAGTGTGTCTCATCATGTTGTTATGTACCGGTGTAACTTGTATCTAGTGATTTAGTGGAGGCTATTACACGGACGTGGGCCCCGCAGATTAAGAGAGTTTCTCCGAACTGCGTAAACATATCTGGTGTCATTTTTACACATTTTTATAGTTACAGCATTCTGCCTAGTAGGTGCTGTAACACCCTCTGAGTCATCTGCTTCTGTGTGTGCTTGTGACAGAGAAGTGTTATAGCACACTGTCCGTCATCTGTTACTGTGTCAGTGATGCAGCATCTTCTCTGCAGCATAGTTCGATGATTTGTTTGCATAGCTCTTAATTGGTGATTTCCGCTACACCCTACGAACTTTCAACCAGACCATCACCACTGAAATGAATTAAATTCTTTTATTTATTTATTAAACTGTTACGTTTATTTTGTTTATAAATGCACGTAAGTCTAAACCTCACAAACTATATGTCATTGATCATCTTTTTACTAGACCTACCCAACGACCTAAAATTGGATATATTGGTTGTCTCTACAACATACATGAATTTTTATCTTTCACTTTATTATCTTTTTAATCTTGAGCTGGTCAAGTTATTAAGTTTCACACCTCAAATTCACACGCGGAATATATCATTGAACTCGTCTCATCGAGATCTTCAATTTGATTATAAATTTGACCATAAAAAAATAAACTTGAAAATATCTTATTCTAGTATTATCATTTTTTATTTTTATTTTATGTAAACAAAAATTGAAATTATGATTTATTTTAAATTCCTTATTCAATTCTAGGTTATATTTCAATGAGTTACACCACCTCAAATCAAGGAAGGTCCCCTGGCATATTCTTGAAAAAAATCCTCCCACAACTTCATGTTGAGTTAGTAGTTAGTATCCGGATGAATTCCCAATCAGTGCAATTTTTGAAAAACCATTCCCAAATGGTGAAGGGGAGTCTGACATTGCGCAGAGTGGTCATATTTAAGCATTAACGGGACTCCTAGTACCGTAATTTTATTTTTTTTAGATTAACAGTACAGCCAGTACCGTTAATCTATTAGTTATTTATAATTACAAAATTAAATACATCCCTTTGTTAGATATTGGCATTAAATTTGAACAATAATAAAATTTTTATTAATTTGATGCACTACTACTGAAATAAAAAGCATACAAATAAAAGTTGTCGTACATATATAAAAATCCCACATTGAAATTTATAATTTAACCAAGTTCCCCGACGATGTCTTCGTGCTCGCATGTCCATATTATTTGTGAAACGAGTACTCACTGGCCGACCGGCCTGTGACTTTTGCCCTGTAAATGGATGGACTAATTCATAACCAAGGGTAGGCCATTCAATTTCGTTTTGTAGTGGCATAACACTTGTAGAATATGTATCAAGATAATTCTGAAGTGAAAACACTCGTGGGATGAGATCATCAACAGTAATGTTGCAATAACGACATATGTCATAGACATGCACACATGGCATGTGCAATGTGGTCCATTTCCCGCAAGTGCACAATTTTTGGCCCAGATGCACGACAATCTCATCTAATCTACTGGTAGCTCCAGCGTTTCCCTCAACAACGACCCAATAAATCCCTTGTTGCGGATGATGTGGGATAACATGGCAATGTAAACGATGGTCTTCCATGCGTCTCACCTCGTTCCAAATATATTTTGGGAACTTAAATCCCGCTTGTAGCCATGTAAATCCGTTTGTACGCCTTTCTGCAAATAATTTTACTAATCGCTCGTACGTCGTCTTCACAATGGCATATACCGGAAGAGATCGGCATCCCTTAAGCACGTGATTGTAGCTTTCTGAAAGATTAGTGGTCAGGATTCCATATCGAGCCCCACCATCGGAACAGAGTGCCCACTTCTCTAATGGCAAAGCCAACAACCAGTCATATGCCTCCTCCCGTTGTGACTTAATTTGTTGCATTGTTCTATTGAATTCAGAGACNTGTAAATCCGTTTGTACGCCTTTCTGCAAATAATTTTACTAATCGCTCGTACGTCGTCTTCACAATGGCATATACCGGAAGAGATCGGCATCCCTTAAGCACGTGATTGTAGCTTTCTGAAAGATTAGTGGTCAGGATTCCATATCGAGCCCCACCATCGGAACAGAGTGCCCACTTCTCTAATGGCAAAGCCAACAACCAGTCATATGCCTCCTCCCGTTGTGACTTAATTTGTTGCATTGTTCTATTGAATTCAGAGACCCATCCAGATACTTCAGACTCATCTGAAGAGCTCTCTTGATCAGAATTAGCAACGTACGTCGGATCCTCAGAGTCATCTTCATCATCCATGTCTCGTGTTGTGTTAGACGGCCCCGCCTCATCAACTTGGTGTTGGTGATGAACTTGGTGGTGATGAGCTTGGTGGTTTTGCTCTTCCTCCATTTCTTCTTCCTCGTTAGCCAACACTTTAACTTCGTGTGCATCTAGGTAAACCTCAAGTTCATCATATTCCTTCGTTGCCTTTTGAACGAAACACCTCCATGTTCGTTCCTCGGAAATGGGGATAGTGCGTGAAGCAGCATAAACTCCATCCTTGTATTTGGGATATTTTCCCCAAATGTTTTTGATGGAATTGATATTATCTTCACCAATAGCATCAATGAGTTCATTGAAGACCTCCTCGAATGAGATATCAAGATCAAAAACAAAGGCCTTGTTTGAATGCAATGAGTACTCCACCTCATTGTTCTTGATCATTATCTCACCGTTCCAATGGGCTAGCAAGACAAAATTACCATCAGAGGCCATTTTTTGGTAAGAGGTTGTGAGAGAAGTGAGTAGATATGTGAGAGTAAAGCTCGGTGGAGAGATTGTGAGAGTTAAGCAAGAAATTTTTTAGTTGGGTGGATTGAATGGTGTAGGATTATTTATAGAGTATTGTGAAATATTTTTTTAGTTGGGTGAATTGTATGGTGCAGGATTTTTTGTAGTGTAATGTGAGATTTTTTTAGTTGGGTGAATTGAATGGTGTAGGATTGTTTGTAGTGTAATGTGAGATTATTTTTAGTTGGGTGAATTGAATGGTGTAAGCTTGTTTGTAGTGTAATGTAGACATTTTTTTAGTTGGGTGAATTGAATGGTGTTATATTAAAAATTATACAAATTAATATCTACCCAAATTTAATACAATAATAAAGATGTTATCATCCAAACTAATAGAAGAATAAAAAGTTTTTATCATCCAAATTAATACAATAATTAAAAAAATTAAAGTGTGATAAATGGATGGTCATCTAAGAAGTACAATAAATGGACGGGCCGTTTAAGAAGAAGGTGCGCCGCTGCTAGTACCGAATTGAGGGGAAGGGGTGGTTTTGGATAGAAAATTACTCCCTCCGTCCGGTATTAAAGTTTACGTTTTGACTTATTGTCATTTTTAGTGGGAGTTGACTAAGCACTTAGAATACCAAAAATACCCCTTTCTCCCCTTTTGCCTTTCCACCTGAACACAGAAAACAGCCCAGCTCAAAATCGGAAAACAACTCAAAATTGGCTTTTACCCTTTCCTCCAAACCTGACGGCTCAAAATCTGAATCTATTTGGTTACCGGAATCAGCCGATTTGGTTACCGGAATCGCCAGATCACCGCCGTGTCCCGGGCCAGCGGTTTCCGGCGGGTTTTCCTCAATTCCGGCCACCTCCGCCACCTCTGACGTCGCGCAACCCCACCAGGAACCATCAATTGCAAAGTTGAAGCCAATTTGAAGAAACCCCCAATTTCGGATCCTAGGGTTTTCCCGATCCTAAAATCTTCAATTAGTGAAGTTCAAGGCAAAATTGAAAAAAAAGGACTGGATATTCGTGATCCTCGGGCAAAAACGGTTCATTTGGCGTTGGTCCCGTACGTTTCTGCTCAGGAGAAAGAAAAGAAGAAGAAAAGCAAGAAGAAGAAGAAGAAGAAGAAGAAGAAGAAAAAAGGGGAAGAAGAAGAGGAGGGAGGTGGAGAGTTCACAGATCGGGAGGATGGGAGAAAGAAAAAGAAAAAAAAGGAACTAAGGAAAAAGAGGAGGAAGGGGGAGAGGGAGAGAGAAGATTGAAATGGTAGAGAAGGGTATTTTTGGAAGAGTGTGGGTTAAAATTAGAAATGTAAACTTTATTTTCGGACGGAGAAAAAGGAGAAACGTAAACTTTATTTCCGGACGGAGGGAGTATTTTTTTGGATTAACGGTACAGGCAGTACTGTTAATTGATTTAATTTTTTTTTTTAAACTTTACGGTACAAGAAGTACCGTTAAAATCTTTTTCCACCTGACAGCACTGAACGAGAATGCTTTTTCCCTATCGTCACTGAACGGGAATTAATTCGTTAGTACCCACCACTCGCATGCTCTCCACCCCACTTGATTGGATTATAGCTAATGACTTTTATGGAGATTGAGACTAAAACATATTCTCATGCTTTATTTTTTAAATAGGAATTCACATTGTGATAATGTGACATTATACATGTGTATTTAATTTTACTATATTTTTTGATAATGTACATAGTCGTAGTTGGTAATGTAAATGTATTTTAACTTCTATTTTGAGAATAAAAATATGAAACTCTTATTTTAATATATTTTTAATGTTTTACTCATACTTTAGTCTTTTTTCCTTAAATTTAACTTGTAAAAATGAAGTTTAAAAAAATTAGGGGAAAAGATTAAAATTTTTAGTTAGATTTACCCTTGAATCACATTCACTATGCGTTTCTTAAAGTCGTTGCAGTAAAAAGATTCATTACGTGGGACCACTTCTGATCCACACATACAGGTTGGTATGAACCAACCAGCTCCCGATCCACCATCCACACCCTTGATGCCTTGATGGTACTACGTATTGCGTATTCCCCATCATGTGCATAGAATGGGTCATCAATTACTAATCCTTTTTATATATAAAGCATACTCCGAGCTATAAGAACGTGACATTTGGCAGAGCTAAAGGCGACATGTGGCAGAGCTGATGTGTCACCCTTTTAGACAAACCGGTCGAACCAGTTTTTTTAGACAAACCATGGGGGTTTGAATCCAAGATCTCTGAGTCATTTAGTTGAATTTCTAACCATCCAAGCTAAGGTGCTTTTTGTTACAATTTCACTTAACTTTATATAATAATTCATAATTAAAAAAGGGTTGTATAAAAATTTCTTTTTAGTTATAAAAAATATAGTCCTTTAATATAATATTTGAGACTCCGTTTGCTAGAAAGTCGCCAGGTGTCAAGCTTATGTGGGCTATATTAAGGTGAGATGGCAAGCCTTTATTGGTTGCTTATGTGACAAATTTTATTAATAATGAATTGACCTTTCTTTTTATTTTAAAATAGAAATTTAATAATGATTTCAAATTTTGGAAAAAATTTACGTAAAAAGATTTAGGACAAATAAAGAATTCATTACTTCGTGATATTAGTTGAGTATTTATATTTTTTATTTTTAAAAAGCAATTCATTTATTTATTTGTTATGCTTTTATTTATTTGTTATGCTGTGATAAAATTAATTGTGTTATAAAATCAAATTTGTAAAAGATAAATATAGTATTGTCTGAAATAAAATTATTAAAGGAAAACACTTATATAAAATATAATTTTATGATAAAACTTATTTATGATGTAGCAAAAAATTAGTGAAAATATAAAATAGGTATTATCATTTACCATTTCTAGACTAGTATTTTTTATGAATCAAATTTTTAACTATGTGCATACACAAAAAACAAAATTTTGATAATGATATATTTTCGTTATAGGAAAGGATCAAATATGTTTATAATTGATCCTTTATTTATAAAATTGATATTTTAATCTCTAAGAAGCTGAGATGTGATGTTGTTTACGTGACATTTCTGACAACCATAATCTCTAAGAGAGAATATTTGTTTGTCTAAAACTTTATTATTGTTATTTGTAAAAATATATTGCCTCCCAACCATAAAAATTCATGTTATTATTACAGGCCCACGATAATTTAGGCTTGTTTACATAATTTCATTAATCATTTGAAAGATAAGATATACTTGTCACATCTTGTTTTATGAATCTTTTGATGCAATTTTGAACGATGTAATTTTTATTTTTTTATACTCCGTAATATATCAATTTATAAATAAAATGATATAGTAATATTTAATCTTTTGATTTTTTTGATTTTTTTATTGGACAAATTAATCTTTTGATTTTTTTATTGGACAAACTTTTACTATTTTAGAAAGTTCTTATTGAAAGATAATAATTTTTGTGACACAAAATTGAAAATTGTTTCAAAGCTATTAACGGGAAATAATAATTTTGAAATGGAAAATACTGATTTTAAAATAAAGCATAATTTTTATTAGAATTAGAATATTTTTTACTATATACAAAAATATTTAATGTTTTATTAAATAAACATGCCATCAAAAGTACCTTTCTTTTTATATATTTATTTCTATTTTTACCAAATTGGTAACTAATGTTTTAAATATTAGTTTATATAAATACTAAAAACAATAATAATAATCTTATAACTATGATTAGTATTACTATTATAAGTATTATTATTACTATTATTTTAGTTAATAATAATAATAATAATAATAATATTATCAATGTTGTTTAGGGACTAACCTTAAATCTTAATTTTTTATTTTTTGTGTAGTCAAATTTTTAGTGGGTTTTATTTTTAAATTTTAATGCACATAAAAAATAAATTTTGGACCAAAGATTTTATTTTCAAAAAGCCATCATGTATAAACATTAATGAATAAATTTATAATCATGCCTTAAAAAAGTTTGAATAAAAGCTATACTTCTCCATAAAATATATATTAGTACACTATTTTTTTATGATAGAAATTACATATACAAATGGAGAGATATCGTGATAACCTTGCATAATTGAACCTATTTGAGAAAGAATGTACTATGTGATGTGACAATTGGTAATTTTTTATTTCAAATTAAAAATTAAACATTTCCATTACATTTTTCCTAAAAAAGTATTTATACAGTGCATCAATCTGGGAATAATTCTACACCCACTTCATCATGCTTTCAAGTGCATAATAGATAGAAGAGAATTGATCTATCTTCAATAACATGTGTTATTACTTTCTATGAAGTTAATCATACGATAAATGTCTTTGTGTATTAACTAATTATACGTATGTGATACTCCGTATTATAAACAATGTACTCAAGTACTATCTGATTCTTTTTTGTGTATGGTTACGATTGAACTGGAAAAACGTTTCTATGGAAATTACTATCTCCTTCTATGAGATCAAATAGTAAGGTTGTCTTGAATCTCACACTAAGTGTGATTGCAGCATTGCTTTTTCTTGGGGGAAGGACAACACACTCGAAATTCCCAATTCCTCTGGCGCTATTTGAGTGCTCAACATGTGCCATCAAACAATGGAGCCCAAAAGCAGAACTAATTTAACAAGCAAGTCTAATCGTATGAGATGAAGCATATATGATGAATATACTCCCTCCGTCCTAAAATTAATTCCTCAATTTGACTTTTGTAGTCAAACTTTTTAAACTTTGATTGTATATTACGGAAAAAATACATTGAATTTTTATATAAATTTATTAGCAATAGTTTCATTTTGAAACATAGTTTTAAAATATATAATTTTTATAAAATATATCTATATAAGAATTGAGATATTGATGGTCAAAGTGTCGCATTGGAGACCGTGAAAAGTCAAATGGTAAGTTAATTTTAGGACGGGGGAGTATTTACTTTTAAGGCATTGAATCATACAATGAGATGTGTAATGAGTTTCTCTAATAAAAACTGCATAAATGAACCATTCAGATGGAAAGTGGTTGTACTCGAACGCGATTTTCAACAAATTAAATTCTTTTTGTTTTACCCAGAGTTTCGAGAGAAAAAATTGTAGGTGCTACCATCAATTCTTCAAAATTGTGGTTGTATGGTAAAGTTTATATGTTGACGAATAATATGAGATTGCATTCAGCTACATGATCTTGCACAGATAGAGACGCACAAGCTTTTTTTATTGGATAATTAAAATCGGAGATAGAAAGCTTGAACAAGTGATTGATGGAACAATTGACGCTGAAATTTTGCCTGAATTCTTGATTCTACACACGAGTTCTCCTCACAAGAGTATAGTGAACTTCACTTATCCGAACCTATTGGAGAATAAGAAAATTTATTCTTTTTTGGGGGATAAGGCACTACTAGCACCCACTCTCGAAGTTGTAGAAATGGTAAATGAATTTGTCCTATCACTCATTCCCAAAGGTGAAATGGTGTACTTGAGTTCGGATTCTTAATGCCAGGCAAATTCAAATGTAGGTGTTAATGGCGATTGGATTACGGTTGAGTTTTTGAATGAAATCAAATGATTGGGGATTTCAAACCACAAATAGTTTAAAAAAGGAGTACCAATTATGTAATTAAGAAACATTGATCAGACATCTGGACTATGTAGTCATACAAAATTAACTACTTACGAGCTGCAATAGAACGTTATCAGTGTTATTGTGGTTTTGATAAATCAAGTGGGGTAAAAAGTTTACATACCCCGGATGAATTTGGTACCATCTGATACAGGACTACCCCTGAAGTTTCAGAGAAGACAGTTTCCAATAACATTATGTTTTGCTATGACTATCAACAAAACCCAAGGTCAAATATTGTCATTTGTTGGGTTATTTTTAACCAAGTCAGTGTTTACTCATGGTCAGCTTTATGTTGCTGTTCCGTGAGTAAAGACAAAGATATGATTAAAAATATTGGTTTTAAATGACAGAAAATTACTCGCAGGTGACGCGAGTTTTGTGAAAATAACTTTTAGATCCTTCTATTTTCAAAAAAGACAACCAAGGTCCTTATATTTTGTTGTAATGACTGAGAGAGGACATTTCATCCAACACATCATCCGTAAGTGTTAATAAATGAATTTTTTTCCTATTTTTCCAATACTTTTTTTTCCTATTTTGCTATTACCTTGTTTTTTCTTTTTTTAAAATTTTTTTATTTCATTTGTTTTAATATAATACAAACAATTTTGAATTTTTATAAGATTTTATAGAAGAAATTCTAAAATAACACTTTAAAAAAATAGTAACAAAATGAAAGAAAAACAAAGAAAAACAAAGAAATAAAAAAAGGAGCGACCTAAGATTTATTACCTTAAAACATTTAGAAAAGAATAGGAAAAAAAATACATTTATTAACATTTATAGATGAAATATTGGATGAAATGTCCCCTTCCAGTCATTACACCAAAATGTAAGGACCTCTGCTGTCTTTTTGAAAATAGAGGGACCTGAGAGTTATTTCAACAAAACTCGCGTCACCCGTGAGTAATTTTCTGTTTAAATGACAATGAAAACCATTGCAACCATACTAAAAATGTTTTACCGAGAAGTCTTTCAGAAATTTTGAAATTAAATTTTTTTTGTTTTGTACACATTAAATTCCTTAATTATTATTTATTTCACTTTGGTTTTTTTTCTATGATATTAAAAATCATGGGAGAAGTATATTTTCTTTATTCCAAAAAAATATTGCATTAATTGTTTTTAGAATAGACAAAACATTTTGTTCGACCCCGTGCGTGGCACAACTCGAAATACTAGTAATACTACTTATACATTACTTTGGTACACCACAATTTTGTATCAGCGATCGTGCATATTTTTACACAATGTCATTAGAATTTCAAAATTTTATATTATTATTTTATGATAGTGTCAATCATCAAAGTTCGGATACAAAATTATGATTTATAAAAGGAAAATACTAGGGGTACACTTTTGGTCCTCCACCCCCTCCATAACCACTAAAATAGGCAAGAAAATTAAAAAAAATAAGTAAATAAAAATCAAATATAAATGAGTGGTTATGGAAAGGGTGGGAGACAAATGAGGTACACTTTTGGTGTACTCCTAGCATCCCTCTTTACAAAATGATGTACACCTAAGAGGGTCCTTTTTTAAAACCATTGCGAGTCTCTTAATTCCTTATTGAGTTACCAACCAAACAGAGCTTACTCTTGTCACGTTTTTTCCCATACCCGAGAGAAGTAAATTGACTTGATCCATTCGCCCCCCCGAACTTAGAAAAACTCGAAAGCCCGCCCAAGGAAATTCCAATAATTGCAATTTTGTCCATCCTTTTTCCAAAAATATACCACCGAAATTTGAAATCTTTCCCCTTCCCCAAGCCGCAAAAGCGCCTCTTCCGTCCGGAGAAAATGGCAAAGGTTTCTGAACACAAAATCAGCGAAGGTCAATGAGAATACGGAGACCCGAATCGGAAAAATCTTTCCATAATCGTCTCCTTTGTGTGGGTACAAAGAGAAGCCAACAAAACTCGAGCTCACTAATCTGGTAAGTGCTTTAATGGCGCCCCCTTAGCTGTAATCAATTCGTCAGTTTCTCTCTCTCTCTCTCTCTTTCTTTTTCTTTCCAAGAAACCCCATTTGTTGGATTTATTGTACAAAAGTATGGAAAAAAGGACTCCATTAATGATTATTCTGAGTCTGGAGGCTTTATTATCGTAAATAGAAAGCCTTTTGGTGGGGACTATGGGTATGGTATGGGTAGCATTGTATGCTTTTGTGAGGATAAGAGAGTATCTCTCTCTCACGTTTTAAGTACCCGCTGCTTCTGAAAGCTAGAGAGAGAAAAGGGATCTTTATAGTGAGATAAAGTTTGTGGTAAAGAGGTTTGTGACTTTTCTTTCTTTGATGTGTTTTTCAGGTATATATTTTGAAAGAATTTCAGAATGGGTGCTTTTTTTTAAGATTAATTGAGTGTTTTTTAATGGGGGGACTATTATAAATCTATAACTTTGAATTCAAGAATGTTGGGTTTTACTAAAGTTTGAATCTTTTTTACTTCTTGTTATGGGACTATTGCCTTTTCAGTTTTTTCGCAATGTAGTTTAGCCAAAGGGAATGAGATTCTGCTGCAGATAAGCTCATGGGCTGGGTTGGAAAAGGGGAGAAATCTGGTTATGCTTTTTGTGAGTTAGTTTTGCTTGTGATTGGTGAAACATAGAAAGTTTCAATTTTTTTTCCCTGAAAATTTTCATTTTTTCTCATTTGTGATGATTAGCTTCATCTCCTCTTCTTCTTCTTCTTTTTTTATCAAACTCTTGAGTGATTTTTCTCTGCAATTTCTTGATCCTTTGGTTGAATTTTTTCAAAAGATTCAATCTTTAATTCCTAAGAGTAATAGTCATTTGTTATTTTGAAAAATATATTTATTTAATGATGTGATTTTGTCTTGTAACATAATTGTTCACGAGGTTGTGTCAGGAAATAAAGAAATCCAAAAAGAAAATGAAAAAAGAAAAAATCTTTTTTTACCTCATCACCTCAGAGCATTATCTGAAAGCCTTTTTTTTCACCTTCTCACACTGCTGTGTTCTCATAGCTTCTCTGCTTTGCAACCTGTAAAGATTCTAAGTGTCCAATAAACACTGTACTCTCTTACTCATCCTACACCTGTACTAAGATCTTTACACCTCTCTCTTCTCTCTCTCTCCCTCTCTCAGATTTTCTTTAATCCCAGGGAGAAAATGGGGAAAACAATAAGGTGGCTGAAGGGCTTGTTTGGCATGAAGAAAGACAGGGAAAAGAGTTCTCAGCATCCCGCAAACCCTCCCGTGCAGGATTCTTCATGGTTGAGAGCTTACATGGATGAGTCAGAGAAAGAACAGAATAGACATGCGGTTGCTGTGGCGGCAGCCACCGCGGCTGCCGCAGATGCGGCTGTGGCAGCCGCTCAGGCCGCTGTTGCGGTGGTCAGGCTTACCAGCCAAGGGAGAGGGACTGTGTTCAATGTAGGGAGGGAGAAATTTGCTGCCCTCAAAATTCAATCTGTTTTCAGGGGCTATTTAGTAAGTTGATCAATTAATTCTCCATTTTTCTTCTTCTTCCTCTCAGTACAAATGCATTTATTTGTCTTTCTTTCTTGGTATTGTTGTTATTATTAAATCAGTTCCAATATTCAATTCTCTTCTGAATTGACTGTTTTTGTATTCCTTAAAAAACCTTTTGAACTGTTTTCAAGTATGTGTGGTCACTGTTGTGTCTTCGTGTAAAAATTGAATCTTGATAATCGTGGTTACACTTAGGCTATGTTTGGGATGTGGAAAAGGAAAAACATGCCTAGGAAAATACTTTATTCTCCCTCCCTCGAAAAAAGATCTTCCCATTTAACTTCTCTTGGTAAAATAAGTATTTTTCTAAATTCTTCCTTAAAAAAAGTACTTCTTAGTTTAAATAATAGAAATATACAAATAAAATGAATTTTAGTATGCAGTATTTAAATGTGATCTATTAAGTTTGCACGTTTTCTATATGAAAAAATTCCAAGATTTTTTTCCTTCCAAATTTTACCACTTTTTCTTTCCCTAGGATTTTTCTGGTTCCAAAGTGACCTTTAAAGCCTAGAACTTTGCAATTGTTTAATATAGATAGAGTATCCCAAACAAAGTTCTTGGAATTCACTCCCCTGTCTGATGCAAAGATCTGATTTTTATGTTGTAATTGGTCCTTTTGCAGGCCAGAAAAGCTCTGAGAGCTCTGAAGGGACTAGTGAAAATACAGGCCCTGGTAAGGGGTTATCTTGTTAGAAAAAGAGCAGCTGCCACTCTTCATAGTATGCAAGCTCTCATCCGAGCCCAATCCGCTGCCCGTTCTCAAAGAGCCCGTCGTTCAATGACCATTGACGCCCGATTCCAGCCCGAAACGCACGCCAGGAAGTCCATTGTAAGAGCCCGTTTGGATTATGAAAAACGATATTGATTAAGTTGCTGAAATTGTTGAATTGTGAAAAAAATATTTATATATTTTGCCATGCTTGTGTTCTTGCAGGAGAGGTTTGATGAGTGCAGAAGTGCCTTCCACAGCAAGAGGCTTTCAGCGTCTTCATATGACACCACAATCAACTCTGGATTCGACGAGAGCCCCAAGATCGTGGAGATCGACACGTTCAAGCTGAAATCGAAGACCCGCAACGCATGCATGTCCGAATGCGGGGACCACCACCACCATTACTACCACCACGCGCCCTCGTGTCCCGGTCCCGGAAGGCTGTCCATCCCGGATTTCGACTGGAGTTTTCTCGGCGAAGATTTGGCGGGAAAGTTCCACACTGCCCAAAACACCCCTCGGGCAGGGGGCACGAGAAATGCGCCTCCCACCCCGCCCAAGAGCGTGTGCGGGGACCACTTCCCGAGCTACATGGCGAACACGCAGTCGTTCCGGGCGAAGCTGAGGTCACAGAGCGCCCCGAGGCAGAGGCCGGAGGGCGCGGCGGGCCCCAGAAAGAAGAGGATATCACTGAATGACATCATGGCATCAAGGAGTAGCTTTACTGGTGTTAGGATGCAAACCCAAACCCCTTGTTGTTCTAAAGCCAGAGAAGAATATCACTATTGATGTTAATTTTTTATTTTATCTATTTAAAAAAAAACACTTCACTTTTAGTTTTAACAATGTTTTGCATGAAGTCTTTACATCTACTAGTATCACACCCGTGCGTTGCACGAGTCATTTTTATGTTATTAGATTCAAATCATTTTTTAATGATAAAAATGAGATGCAATAAAATATAGAGATTATATTATTTTAAAGTAAAAAACATCATTGTTTTACAAATTTCGAAAGACTTCTTTATAGACTACATTATTGTACAATTTGTGGTAATATTTATAGTATATTTAATTGTAATAGACTATAGGCCATTATAATTATAATAAGAAGGGTTAACTTTTTTCGAAATTAGGTGTATAATCATTCTTACCATAATTTTTTTTTTTCGAAATTGGGTATAATTGTATAACTTACCTTTTTTAATTATTTCCAATTTTCAAAAACTTACTCTTTGCATTTGTATAACTTACCTATATTAAAAACATACGCTTTGGATTTGTATAACTTACCTTTTTTAATACGGTAATTATTATAAATATAATAATTATATTAACTTTCGATGGCTTACCATTTTATATTACTCACGTTAATTATTATAAAAATAATTATATTAACTTCCGATGGTTAAAAATGATAGTTACTTATTCTTACCATAATTTCAGACGTTTCCAATCAGTAGTCAAAATAACGTTGGTTAATTATTAGCATATAATACATTGATTCCAATTTTATTAAAAACTTACGCTCTGCAATTTTATAACTTACCTTTTTTAATTATTTCCAATTTTCAATACGTTAATTATTATATATATAATAATTATATTAACGTCACGCTTACCATTTTATATTACTCACGTTAATTATTATAAAAATAATAGCTATATTAACTTCACACTTACAATACGTTAATTAATTATTATAAAAATAATAGCTATCATTATATTTATACCTTTTTTAATAATTATAAATCCATAATTTCGGTCACTTACCATTTTAACATACAATTATTTACTTACCTTTCAGCCATTTTATAAGTATTATAAATATAATAATTATAATAATTATTACTACAATTTCGGCCACTACAATTATTAACTTACCTTTTTTAATTAGTTCTAATTTTAATACGTTAATTATTATATTTATACCTTTTTTAATAATTATAACTTCACAATTTCGGCCACTTACCAATTTAACTTCACAATTATTAACTTACCTTTTGACCATTTTATAAATATTATAAATATAATATTATAATAATTATTACTACAATTTCGGTCACTGTAATTATTAACTTACCTTTTTTAATTCTTTATAATTTTCAATACATTAATTATTATATTTATACCTTTTTTTAATAATTAAAACTTCACAATTTTGGCCACTTACCATTTTAACTTCACCATTATGAACTTACCTTTCTGCCATTTTATAATTATTTTAAATTTAATAATTATAATAATTATTGCTATAATTTTGGCCACTGCAATTATTAACTTACCTTTCGGCCATTTTAACTTACCTTTCTTTAATTATTATAAATATAATAATTATAATAATTATTACTATAATTTCGGCCACTTACTATTTTAACTTCACAATTGCCATTTGTAATTGTCATACTCTTTGGGCGGGAAAACCATATGTTGACTCCATATCTTTTTAAATAAAATATGGATATGGATTGCTTAATCTAAGATTAAAATTTGAATTAACATAGGGCCTTGTTTGTCCATCAGGTCAACACAGAAACACACAGACACAAATGTTTGTACAATACAGACATTTTGTATGTATGTGTTAGTTTGGTGTACAAATGAGGTATCTCATGTTAATGTATCCCTAGCATTGTCATTAAAATTTCATTTAACTAGTAAAGTTATGGGATTCTAAGATGGTTTTTAGTGGGGGGAGGTAAAATTTGGTAGGATAGGGGGGAGTAGAGTAAAAAAAGAGTAGGAGCTACTTTACTGTGTATATTCTCTAGTCATAGAATCTTTGATGATTTCAGCTTAAGTTTGTGATTATTTTAAGCTTTTAGTCTTCCATCTTGGATGATGATTATTAAGATCCGTTTGGGATTTCAGACATCACCTCCTTTACCTGAGGTTTTTTTTTACTTCCTCCCCGTTTCCAAAAAGAATTCCTATTTTGACTTGGACCAAAAATAAAAAAATATTAAATTATAATTGATTTCCAATTTTGTCCCTGATATGATGGATAAAAGTAAGATATGATAGGTAGAGTAAAAGGTAAAATTAGTTTTTTTAATAGAAAGTGGAAATATTTTGTTGGAAGTGAAAAAATGAAAAATAAAGTGTTTTTAAGAACGGAGGGATTAGTTTTTTTGGGTTCGTTAAAATTCGTGGGGATTTATATAGTTTTATTTCTTTTGGATGATTATGTGATTTTGTCTCTTTGATTATTGGAATCAAATTAGTAATTTGTAAATGGTTTAATATCAATTATTCCGAGACATGGAATTAGCCAAAAGAAAAATGCAGATCAAATAAGCTCTTACCTTACTCCGTAATATTTTTTGTGACTCGTACTCATGATTTCCCGCCTTGCCCGTGTACCTAGCTCCCGGAACACGTTTAACACTTAAACTCGCCTTCGCTTAAGCATGTGATCTTACTCCCTTCGTCCCAATTTAAATCGCCAGTTTCAGTTTATGATGTTTGAATGAAGTTATTTTTAAATAATTTTATATGAAAAATACTGTAGAATTTAAAAATAAAAATTACCTATTTAAAAAATACATTAAAAGATCTGCAAGACTAGTTGTGACATGAATATATTATTTTATCAAATAACTAAAGAAAAAAAAGAGAAATAAAGTGAATTAAGTTTGATTATGAAAATACTAAACAAACAATTTAATTTGGAACGGATAATGTATTTGAGAATTGGATATTGAAGTGGTTTAAATAATTTTAACTCCCTAATTGCTTTAACTTTAAGGTGATTGCCAAAAGAAATTAAAAAAAACATACTACATACTTTTATGATCTACTTTGTATTTCTTGTCTGGGGTATGAAAGATAAAAAAAAAGAATATTTTTTAAAATCTTAAGAAATCAAGTGAAACAAATAAAAAATTATAGAGTCCATCCATTTAATTTCCAGATCTAAACAAATCTTAAGGTGCCTTTAAGATTTACGAAAGAACACATATTGCGCCTATTACTCCGTACTACGGACAAAAAATATTGGTGGGATGAGATTAGTGAAAAGATTGTTTCTATGTTACACCTTAGATACATACGGAGTACCATTTTTGTAGATATTCTCATATACGGAGTGTTTTTTTTGTTTTTTTAATTAAAAAATAAAAACTTATTTAATTAATAAAAACATATTTATTTTATTCATATGTAGATCTATGGTAGACCTTAGATTCACCATAGAATTTGTCTACTGAAACAGCAAAAAGATTATTGATGAGGATGGAGGGACCATGGCCACCTCGTTGCCCTTTTAAAAAAGTAACTAATTAAATACGTAGTATTAACATAACTCCATACTTATCACTTCCAATCACTCTTACCATCTTACACATTTTTTAATCATACACTTTTATACTCTAGAGTATTGCTGTCAATCACCGAGGGTGAACTGATCACACAATCATAGTACAATACTACAATGTCATCATTTTTCTATCGCGCTACCAACACATACTATTACATCACACTATCATTATACTCCTATTTTGAAAAAGACTTAGAACTCCTGTTTTGATAATTTTTTAATACATTTTTACTCTTATCAAAGGAGATTTCTTTTGAAAAAACATAAATAATCAACTATTACAAAATAATGAATTCTTAATTTATTCTAATTTTTGTGTGTACAATATGCTAATATTTAGCTAATCCGAACATATTCTGTTTGTATGAGAATAGTTTTAAACATTTATTAATTTTTTGTTATAATCCCCACAAACTTTAATTTTATACTAATAAGTGAGGAGATATTATATACTTCGTATTAATTAATCATCTATTTGTGTTAAATTATTTCTTTTTTCTGAAAATTCTCTTAAGCCAGACAAGAAGTTTTTTGTTTGAAAACAATGTGTGAAATTTTAGATAATTAATTTTTTGTTGACAAACACAATGAAAAAATATTACCCCCTCCATTCAAAGACAAGAGAGAAAACAATTGAAAATAGAAGAATAAAGACAGTAAATATTGAATTCTTTTTTAATACCCTTATTGTTAAACACCTTGTTAGGGTGTATAAATTTAAAACCCTTTTTCAACCACTAATATCAAATAAAAAGAGTATAGTAGCAAGAAATGAATCGAATCTTCGAGGAAGGTTAATCCCCATGTCAAGGAATCAATTCAATCAAAAGCTCAAACTTGTGGTTGTGGCCTAGGAAGAGTTATTTATAATCTAACACGCCTCTCACATGCAGGCGTAGTCTTTTTCGAGTCTTGCACGTGAAACTTTAATTTTCTTAAAACTGGGTGGCACTGAGTTTCGAAGCAGTGACCTCTTAATCAACAAGGCTCTGATACCATGTCAAGGAACCAATTCAACCAAAAGCTCAAGCTAGTGGTTGTGGCCCAGGAAGAGTTATTTATAATTTAACACCCCACACCACCAACACACTCTCAACCCTCCCTCTTCTCTTTGTATTTCGGCGCAGCACCCACATCACGGAGGAAGGCTGACGGAGGAAAAGAAGAGGAAAAGGAAGGAGGCTGGTTTTGGAAGTGAAATCCCGTCAGTCCACTTTGGGCAGAATTTCGACCATCTTCAACTCACTTTTTGGTCGTGGTCTCTTAACCAAAGTTGTAGCCCTACGAGTCGGTGAACCAAAGCCGCAAACGGTTCATCACTCAGACGAGTAACAAAGGTGATGCGGCCATTTTACCAAAACTGGTCCAGTGGCGACGGAAAACGCGAGGTTTGCAACTTTTGTCTCCATTCTCATTCCGTCTCACCCATTCCGCTATTCGTTTGGTGCGTGCCGACTCTTCACAACCCCTATAACATATTTGTGAGAAGAAATCGAAACTCAAGAAGCCGTTTGGAAGTCGGAAGGTCAATAGTTTGACAACCATTCGTATTCGAGGTATGTACACCATAGATATAACAGAGGAATCTTTAATATATTTATATGCAAATACGTTTGTTGTTTATATGGTTATTTATATATAGATTGATACCATGTT